GCCACGCCGGGCCCCACGCGGGCCGCGATCTGGCCCAGCCGCCTTTGCCAGCTGGCGTGCCGCTCCCTGACGCTGCGCCGAGTCGCCCCAGCCTCCGAGAGACTCAACACGGGGACGCGCTCGCGGGGAGCTCCAACCGGCCCCGTTCCTACGTGTCCTTTGGCTTGGGCCCCGCATTCAGGGGGGACTACATACAGCTTACAAAAGGAGCTCTGAACAACCTCCTCACCCCCTTCACAGCCAACCCTCCACCTCCGGATCCTAGGACGCAGACCCAGGACTTGTCCTCTGCATTCACAACTATTGAGGCCCCCACAGACGCATGGACACTCCTGGGCCTCCGTAGCCAACCTCGGGCCTTCCTGGGGCTCAGGCTGGAGGACATTTTCCCGTCCTCGTCTTGCTTGACCCTGCTGACACCTCTCTTAGGGGACTGCACCCTCCTGCCTCTTTCTGTCCCTCTGGTTGCTCCTCCATCTCCTAGGGCTCCTTTTCCTCTGATGGCCATTGGGGTTCTGTCTAGGGCCTCCTGACCTCACGGGCAGCTGAGCTCTCCCCCTTAGTTTCCTGTCCACACTTCAAGCTATGATTCTCTCCGGGGCCATGGGGAGTCATTTCCTGCAGACGTATTCACAACTGCACATCTCCGGTTCCGTACTAACCATACCCAAACCTCTGTTTCCCACTACCCGGTGACGCAGCCAGAGATGGGCAGCGCCCTGGACTCTTCCTCCTCCAGCTCCCGAGGCCCTGCATCTCACAGCTTTCTTCTCCCCAGCGGAAATAGCCTCCCAATCCCTATCCTGCTCCCTCTACCTCACCCCACAGGGTATCTGTATCTGAAAATACAGATTGGAATGACTTCATATTTCCTCTGCCTAAAACCCCTTCCACCCTCCTCCCTATAGACCTGAGAGGATTTTTGAAGAGCCCTCACTGGTGTTGCCCTCATATTCTGCTTGGAATATCTTCAAGTGTCAATGAGAGTTTGTGTATATTTGGACCTTTTGCCCCCTAGATCAGTTCCTCCTGCCTACCTGGCCAGGCAGAGAAAGGGCTCTGGGCATGGGTCACTCAGTGACAGCTAGTCCACTTGTCCTTGCAAAAGCCGAATATATGACCTTCCAGCTCCCAGTTTACCACAAAAGGGACAGGGACAGAAGCATGTCTGCCTCTGGCTGGCATGCAATGTGGGGGTTCTTGACTTTATACAGAAAAGATTTTACATGAGTCCAGGTGATTTTAAGAGTATGTTTATTAAAGCTGGGGACAGTGAAACAAGGAAGGGCTTAGGATAGAAAAACCAACAGGAGAGCCCAGCCAGGCATGGCTCAGAGGTTGAGCATCGACCTAGGATCCAGGAGATTGAGATTTGATTCCCCATCAGGACACATGCCCATGCCGGGATTGTGGGCTCGATCCCCAGTTGGGGGCATGCAGGAGGGAGCGATCAATGACTCATCATTGATGTTTCTCTCCNGGGGGCTGGATCCCCAGTCGGGGGCATGCAGGAGACAGCCAATCAGTGACTCTCCCATCACTGATGTCTCTCTCTCTCTCCCCCCCGCCTCTGAAATCAATAAAGATTTTTTTTTTTTTTAAAAAGAAAAAGCAACAGGAGAGCCTATAGGCTGGGCTGCTTTGGCTCACTGAGAAGTCAGGGAAAAGGGGATCTTGGAGAAAGGTTCAGGGGGTTAGCCCGGGATGAACTGCTGCTGTCCATTGCTCCCCCAGTTGCAAGTGAGGACCCTTAGAGTTTAGGAGATGCATGCTTAACAGAAGAAAGGCATAAGAAAGGGCACCCCAGGTCCTTGTTTTGAGGGTTTTAAAGGCTGGGAGTTTAGGGGAGGTTTTAGGGGAGGATCTCAATAGATTATTCATCAGCTTTATGCTGATGCACCAAAATGAGATTTATTCCCTTAACTTCATTTGTCTTTGGATGTGGTTGGCACAAATCCCATTAATTGGATTTCTGGTATCCATCTCCCTGAGTTGGGTGATTTAAGCTATTTATCCTCTGGTTGGGGAGGAGAAGTGTAAACTATTTACTCCTAAGTGTCTTTGGTTAGGGGAGATAGGACTTTGCGATTTACTAGATGGTTGTAAACTGCTTGGCCATTTACCTATCTGTCTCAGTTTCCCTATCACTTGTCCTAGCTTACTAGCCTGTCTCACACTCAGTTACAGCAGCCTACCAGCTGAAAGCCCACTATGCACCAAGTACTGAACTGGATGTCCTCCAACACCATCAGTATTCCTCAGGACTACCCTGCAGGGTATATTTATTCATCCCCATTCTTCAGATGAGCAAACTGAGGCTCAGGGAGGTCAGAATGAGACAAGATAGTGAGAAGCTAGGAAAATTCCTCAGCAAGTGGATTGGGGAAACTGAGAGAAACAGCTGATCAAATTGGTTGAGCAATTTACAGCCCTGGGTGCCTAGCAACCAGCAAAATTGGTGCCAGACCTCCCCCCCAGGGTGGCCTTTCCTCCCCTGGCATATCACTGGTCATGTGATTTAGACCCTCCTGACCTTTCCTTCCTAGAGATAACATCTAGGCCTCAGTTGAATTTCAGTTCTAGGCCCAGAAATGCAGCAAACCAGGCAGGCGAGGCCAGGACCAGCTGCGATAACTGATGACACCCTGTCCTGGTGCCGGCCAATCAGTTGAGACCACAACCCTGAAAGTATACACCTGGAAAAGCTGATGACTATTCTATTGAGGTCTTTCCCTAAGATCTCCCCTAAACTTCCAGCCTTTAAAACCCTGAAGCCTAAGAAATAAGCACCCATTCTCCCTCCTACTGGCACTCCCGCAGGCATCTCCTAAACTCTAAGGGACCCCACGAAACTTGAACCTAGGGGGGCAATGGGCCTGTTTTCAAGGCCTCCTTTTCCGTGACTCTCCAGTGAGCTGACAGCATTTCCACTTTGGCTCACTTCTTTCCCGTAACTTTTCTAGTGAGCCAAAGCAACCCCACCTAGTCTCTCCTAAGCCCTTCCTTGTTTCACTGTCCCCAGCTTAAATAAATGTACTCTCAAAGCTTCCTGGACCCATGTTGTGAAATTTTTCCTGCTTGAAGTCAAGAACCCACCCTAGGGCAGTCTCTGTCCAATAACAAGGAAACTTCACAGGCTACTTGGCTGAAGCTGACAGAGCTCAGAGTTCAATCCAAGTCTGCCGGTCCTGAAACCTGCTCTGACTCCATGCCCTCTCTGCAACTGTGAAACAAAGGGTGGCATTTCAGCTGAAATGGACCAGGGGTGAATGGGTGTGCAAGGCCACAACAAAGGCGTGGTATGGAAGGGTGGGTATCAGGGCAGAGCTGGCAGGCTGAGCTCCCTTTCATGTTGTAATCCTTTTATCAAGCCCAGAGATGCAGCTGGACTTTGTACCCCTAGGCATCCTCACCCTCTCTGGACCAAAGCTTCTTCCAGGTTTGGCCAAAAACTAGTGAGAGTGTTCAGAGCGCCCTCTAGTGGCCGACAGGATGTATCAAAACCCGAAGCCCATGCTGGCACTGCCCTGTAGGCAGGAACTGGAGCTCCCACCACCCCAACTGGCCCCTGGCTGGCTCTGGGCTCTGCACCAAAGAATTCAGGCCTGGACCCCAATCCTATGCATGTTTCCCTGTATCAGACTCTCTGTCTTTATCCATCTCCACTTGGTCACCAGATTCTCAATCCATCTCTGCCCACCTTGGCCTCTGTCCATACCAGTCTCAGCCTAGTGTCTCTTCCTCCCTCCGTCTCACTCTGTCCCCAAAGCAGGAGAGATGGTGGGCAGATAAGCTGAAACAAAGTAGAAGGGTAGTGTCCTAAAAAGAACCCTGGGTTCAAAGAATACTAAGACCTGCAAGCTGAGAGAGAGGAGAAAGCTGGGAAGGGGAGTCCAGCCAGGGTGACCTGCAGTATTGTCTCTGGTACCCAGATCTGAGGTGGCATCTGAAGCCTGCTGACCAGGCAGGAGCAGGAGCTGCATTCCAAAAGGAATGTTTCAGCCCAGCTGGGCACGGCTCAGTGGTTGAGCATCGACCTAGGGTCCAGGAGATTGCAGTTCGATTCCTGGTCGGGGCACATGCCCAGGGTTGTGGGCTCGATCCTCAGCAGGGGGCATGCAGGAGGCAGCCGATCAATGACTCTCTCTTCATTGATGTTTCTATTTTTCTCTCCCTTCCTCTCTCTGAAATAAATAAAAAATATATATATTTTTAAAAACCACAAAAACAAAAGGAATGTTTCAGGTCCTGGTTCTTAGTCCCAGGAGGGGAACTAGATTCCAGGAGAGGAGGCAGGAGAATGAAGCCCAAAGCAGTGCACAGGAGAAACACTTTGATGCTGAGAGAACCCATCAAGGCTGCAGGAAAGATCTAACCCTGATTACCTGCCTCTCTAGCCCCCTTACCCCTCCACTAGCTCCCTCCTCTCATGTTCAGAGTAGAGCACAGGCCAGGGCACTTTAGAGCATCCAGAATACTTTTATTGCCATAATCAAGATACAGCCTGCTCAGAGCCTGATATGGGGCCCACCACTCAGGAACAAAAGGAGAGACAGATGCTGGGTATGTACACAACAGAGAAAATCCAGCTCCACAGAAACCTGTGGGAGAGCAGCACAGTCCAGCCTGACCATGGCTTTGGGACTCCACCCTAGAGGCCAGAACCAAGTCTTGGTCTATAGCTGTCGCCCACTTGGAGACCTCCGCTGCCAAGGCAGATACAGACTTTCCAGCCCTGCTATCATAGGAAGACCCATGAAGCATCTGAGGCAGACAGAAAACCCACAGGGGGGCTCCAAGGCACCTGGCTCTCACAGGGCCCGCTCAAGGTTCTGAGCTAGTCCCTGCAGACTAAAAACCACTGAGCTGCCTGGTAGAGGCTGGCTCTAGGCAGGGTGGGCAGGAGCCCAACCTCCTCTCAGCCCTGTGCCAGCCCACTTGGGTGCTAGAGAAACCCTATGGCAGGGTGGCAATATGGTGGTGGGGTTAGCAAGAGGGCAGTTCAGGGAAGCTCTGGGTTATGTTGGCCCCACTCCTGAGTTCTCGTTCTTCATCAGGATCTAAAAGGCCATGGCACTGGGTTCTGCTCTCATCCTTGAACCACAGTCCCAAGGTGGAGGGAGCCAGCATCAATACTGTGGGCAACATCCCAACCAAGGGGATCAGGGCTCCTGGGACACAGCCTGCAGAACTGGGGGGCCATCTAGGCTGTTTTTAGAGGTAGGAGTGAATGCCCCAGGGCATGGGAACCACAGAAAACACAACCCACCCCTGCCTGCAGGGGGAACTGGGCTGCCCCCAGAAAGCCACAGTCAGGCTGTTGAACAGCTAGGCCATAGGAAAGCCAGCAGCTCCAGCCACCCATGGCCAGCAGCAGCTGTACCTGTGGCCACTGTGCGGGAAGGATCACCCTAGGGACCAGGAGCCCATCCCTGGGATTTCTGGGGGCAGAGACCACAGCTCAGTCATATCTCTCACAGGAAGTCTGAGGGCCTGGGATTGGTGGGCAAATGTGAAATGGCCACAGGTCTAGAAGGAACACATGGCCCCTGAGTTGGGGATCGGATCCAGGTGCCAGCCAATTTGCCTACAGAGCAGTCCTGAGGCCGGTCACAACGAGTCCATCAACAGCAGCATTCTCTCCATTAAGCGTCTTTTGAGCCCTAGTTGGTTTGCTCAGTGATTAGAGCATCAGCCCTCAAACTGAAAGGTCGCAGGTTGGACTCTGGTCAAGGGCATGCACCTTGGTTTCAGGCTCAGTCCCTCTCCCCAGTCAGGGTGTGTGTAGGAGGCAACCAATAGATGTGTCTCTCTCACATCGCTGTTCCTCTTTCTCTCTCCCCCCACCCCCTTCCAATCTCTCTAAAAAGCAATGGAAAAATCCTCCAGTGAGGCCTGGCTGGGCGTGGCTCAGTGGTTGAGCATCGACCTAGGATCCATGAGATTGTGATTCAATTCTTGGTCACGGTACATGTCTGGGCTGCGGGCTCAATCCCCAGCAGGGGGTGTGCAGGAGGCAGCCGATCAATGACGACTCTCTTATTATTGATGTTTCTATCTCTCTCTCTCCCTCTCCCTTCTTCTCTCTGAAATCAAGAAAGATATATTTAAGGGGTAAAAAAAAGAGTCCCTTGAGTGAGTCCAAACTATTTCTTCCTTCCTCACTCCCAGAGAAAGGATAAGAAACGGCACTTCCCGATGGCAGATGTTTCACAACCCAAGACCTATGGCCTTGGAAGTTCAGTCACAAACTGCTAAACTTGTGGGCCATGGCAGCCCAGGAGGTCAAGAGAAGCAGCTGTACCCAAGCCATCCCACAGGCTTGCCTGGCAAAGGAATCAGGGCCCAAGGAGCAGGTATTTCAGATAGGCCAGAGTAGTGGCATTGGACAGCATCTCAATGTGCTCGTTGCCTGGCAGTGCCTGCAGCGTTATCTGTTGTTCCTGGTGGTTGCGCCAGGTCTGGCACTGCAGGGCACTCTGCAAGTTCACAGTGCCATCGCCATCACCAAAGTAGATTTTAGGTTCTCGGTCTGGGAAGCTCTCATAGTAGAAGGAGTCTGGCGTGGGAACACCAGTACCATAGAGGCAATGCAGGGGCACACCAGGTGGCACCATGGCTTCAACGAGCCCCTCCGTGTCCTGCCGCATGAGCCAGCCATCTTCAAAGCCAATGTCCTGGAAGAACCGGCGATAGTCGCGCAACGTGTAGTTGGTCGTGGGTGTGTGTACAAAGACCTTCTCAGGTGACCAGGTATAGTCGTAGGGCAGCAGCCAGCTGGTAGAGACAGCAGACCGCTGCTGCTCTCGGATCTTCAGGGGACTAATGACTGGGATCCGGTTGTTGTCCCCTGCAGGGAAACGGCTCCAGTCAGTCTGTGCTCAGGAATGCAAGCTGGCTGGGCAGCATGTCCACCACCAGGGTCCCTGCTCGACCCCAGCCAGTGGCCCAGTCAGCACACCAGCGTCTCTATACTGTTATCATTATAAACTCCCATGCCTGCATTACCTTTTTTTGTTTCCCTTTATTTTTGCTACATCTGGAAAGCACCCAACCAAGACTTGTTTCTTTCCTTCTGCATTTTGTCACCAGGGATTTAGGCAGCCAGCACACACCCAAAGGGTGACTTATCACTGGGTATGTGTTGCGCTGACCTTACCAAAGGTGAATCAGCAGGTTGTCAGCCCAGAGGCACAATCCTCTTTTTTTATTACAATGAGCTATGCAAATATTTTTCTTTTTCTAGGCTTAGACCTGCAGCCAGCCAGTCCTGGTCTCATACCAGCCACCTGCCTGTCACTGACCTGGGCAGCCAGGCCCACAAGCAGATCTGCACACTAGAGCAAGAGTCCTTCTCACACAGGAATGCCAACAATACAAACACACCCACCAGCAAGTGAAACTTTCAGAGGGTGAGTTGAAACTTGGGAACAGGAGCCTATGACTCTGTTCAGGACATAATGGCAACCTATCACTCTACCTCTCTCACTGACCACAGAATCACAGTTCTGCCTGGTGGGGCCTGGCTCTAAGACTCCTCAGGAAAGGGAAGCTCCTACCTAAGGGTCCATGACTACCACCCCTCACACCCCAACCCTGTCCCCAGACTGCCAGGGCCTGAAAAAACAGTGTCCCAGCATCTGAGGCCAAGCCAATCCATGGTCACTACTGGGATAGGCACTGGCTCTGACCTGATCACAACAATCAGTTGACCAACCAGCAGATCAGGCAGTGCCAGTGACTTGAGGAAGAAAGCTCACCAGATGCTTGACACAGCCCTGGCTCATGGCTCCTAAAGTGAAGGGCCATGGGGCTCACACTCAGTCCTCGCAGAAGGAGGAAAGCCCTATGGATGCAGTTAACAGGTTCTGACAGTCATGAAAATGCAGGTGGCCCTGGCTGGTGTGGCTTGGTTAGGCATTGTCCTCTGCACTGAAAGGTTGCCAGGTCAATTCCTGGTCAGGGCACATCAGGCAGATCAGGCAGTGCTGGTGACTTGAGAAAGAAAGCTCATCACGTGCTCCGCACAGCCCTGGTTTCGGGCTTGATCCCCTGTAGGAAGCATGCAGGAGGCAGATGATCCATGTTTCACTCTCACATCAATGTTTCTCCCCCTCTCTCTCTCTCCTTCCCTTCCTCTATCTCTAAAAAAAATCAATACAAATATTTAATATAAAAAATAAAATGTAGCCCGGCCAGGCGTGGCTCAGCAGTTGAGCGTCAACCTAGGATCCAGGCAATCAGGGTTCGATTCCTGGTCAGGGCACATGCCCGGGTTGCGGGCTGCGGCCGATCAATGACTCTCTCATCATTGATGTTTCTAGCTCTCTCTCTCCCTCTCCTTTCCTCTCTCTGAAATCAATGAAGATATATTTAAAAATAAATAAATAAATAAATAAATAAATAAATAAATAAATAAATAAATAAATAAAATGCAGGTGGATTGGGAAGAAATGAAATGGGGAAAAAGGTGACTTTCCCAACTGCCTAGAAAGCGGGCCCAAACAGATCTGCACGTGCTTCCTCCCCATGTTACCCACAGAGGTTCCGCGCTGCTACGCATGGGGGTGTAACTCATAAACAGGAAACTGTAGTTAGCCTTCCTTCTCTGGGGCAAAGGTGGGGATGAAAAAGGGAGGATGGGGATAGGAAAGAGGGAGAAGGTTTCCCCAAAGAATTGTGGGTCAAACCAAGTAAGGCCAGCCAGGCCTGAGCACAGTATGTGTACATATGTGTACAAGCAAGTACCTGCATGACCAAGAGTTGTGTCCATGTACATGCTGTAAGAAACTTACACAGATAACAAGGGTCATCAACTAGAGAGATGACATTATTTGAGAAAGAATACCATTCTGGAGAAAAAAGGGTTCCCCAAGATGACACTATAGAGAGAAAGAGAGGATGCCACCCCCAACACCAGCCCCCCATGCTGGGCAAGGCAGGGTCTTACCTGAGGCCAGGACGCGCAGGGTTTTGGCCACGCCCCCCCAGGGCGCACCCAGTGCCACAAAGGCACCGATATACTTGTCCTTCCAGGCCTGTGGCTGCCGCTGCAGAAAGTAGAGCGTGTACATGTTGCCCATACTGTGGGCAACCAGCACCACAGGGCCCCCATACATCTGGTACATCTCCTCGATCATCTCCCGGAGGGCCAGGAAGTAGGGTCCATTTTCATCTGCAGGCCAGAGCCAGGCTGGAGTTAGGCAGGAAGGGTTCTGGGGTCTGAACCACTGACTGTTTCTCAAGCCAGACACAGGACTAGGTGGGTGGAGAGAATGCTAAAATCCAAGTGGAGTGGTCTGATTTCCCCTTAGTTCAATGAAGATAGGAAACAAAGGGGCTCCCTTTCCCCTCCTCAGACTCACTCTCTCTCTCCGGAGCTCAGAGGCCCAGAAATCCTGGGGTGAGGGATAGGGAAAGACAGGACAGACTGACCAGGGGTAGGGGACAGCCCAGGGCCTGTGGTGGCTGTGACCTCTTTGTCCCCACCTCCCACAACCTCAGAGAAGAAACAAGGTGATCACTTACTTGGGGCTCTGCGCCAGTCATAAGGGGCCCCCCGGATGTCCTCACCCCGTGTGTAGCCCCAGCTTACAAGGCTCTCCACGATGGTGTGGAAATAAGAACCTGTACACAGAAATGCATAGTATTATAGAGGGTACTGCCAGTGCCAGCCACCTGTACCACACCTGCCAAGGAGGCTGTGACATCTACCACAGGGAGGTCCCTGACCGAGCGCTCTCTGCCCACACTGATCAGAGACAGTTCACAGGCTACTACTTCAAACCAAGTGGTTCCTCTCACCATAGGAGTTCAGCAAAACCTCCAGCCCCATTCCCTAGAGAGCATGAGAAGGGCTACATACCCACACTGCTTTTGCTGGGGTCCAGGAACTCCAGTGAGAAGGTCTTCCCAAAGCCGGGAACATGCACATCCACACCATCGGGAAACTGGGTGGCCCGGGACGTTTTGTTGTAGACCAGCCTGTCAGGAGGGGATACTGAGCTGGTGACCCAGAGTTAGTACTGAATTTGGGTCCCAGTACTTCCCTGTGTCCTGAATCACACTCCCTTCTCATCCTCAGGTTTGGTCAGTTGTATAGGGGTTCAGAGCTAGTCATGGGAGATTGCTTCTGTGGACTATTTTGAGCTAAGGACAATTTTAGCTTCAGGCTCAAGAAAAACTTCTGCCCCTTTCTTTAACTACCTAGAACTTGAATTAGGAGCCTCTCCCATAACAAGAGATTATCAGTGATAATCTCTTTTTACCCACCATTAATTATATGGTAGGGAAAACTTCTATTTACTAAACACTTGCTATTCTTATTCTGTAATTACCTGTTGCCCCCAGGGCACCTTACCTCACCCTAGCTCCAAACGTCTTCTATACCCTTGCTCTCTTTCAGTCTCTGAACCTCTTTTCTAAAAATAAATAAATAAATATATCTTTATTGATTTCAGAAAGAGGAAGGGAGATGGAGAGAGAGAGATAGAAACATCAATGATAAGAGAATCATCAATGATCAGCTGCCTCCTGCACCCCCTACACTGGGGATGAAGCCCTCAACCCAGGCATGTGCCCTGACTGGGAACTGAACTGCGATCTCCTGGATTATAGGTCAATGCTCAACCACTGAGCCATGTCGAGCCAGGCTCTGAACCTTTCTTGTAAGTAGGGTCTCTGACTCTCTCATGTATGTGGGGTTCCCATACAAATGTAAGTATTAAATTCAGTTATTTTCTCTTGCTAATCTGTGTCATGTATATTTGATTATTATAATGACCAGCCAAAAGAACCTTGAGAGTAGAGGAAAGTTTGTTCCTCCCCAACATAACAAAGCAAATTTAGAAAGCACAAATCAGTATGAGGACCCCCTCCAAGGCTCACTCTAAAGACTGACCCTCATGCCCTGGCCAGGTAGCTCATTTGGTTAGGGCATCACCCCAATATGCCAAGGTTTTGGGTTCAATCCCCAGTTAGGGCACATACAAGAAACAACCAATGAATGCATATATAAGTGGAACAACAAATCGATGTTTCTCTCTCTCTCATCAATTAAAAAAAAAAAAAGATGGACTCCAGGACCCTTCTCCTTAATGTCAACCACCCCAGAATGCAGGTCTTAGATCTGTTTGGGAGAAGGAAGCGCCATGACCAGCTCTGCCATGAACGCCACACTTAACCCCAAAAGGCAGGCTAACTTTACAGGCTCCTATTGCTCCATCTCTAAGGATCCAGCTCCTGCCACCCACCACAATACATCACAGGGGAAAGGAGATGGTGAGAGCAACTCACAACAGAACCAGACAGAGACCTCAGCAGCTGCTGTGTGGGTGGACAGACCAGGCCTGCAGAAATGATGGGGAAAGGGTGGTGAAGACAGGAGGAAAGCCTTATGCCAGTCCAGGAATCCTGCTCTGGCCTTCCAAGGAGGCAAATGTGTTGGAGAAAACACAGGCTACACAAGCATTCCCTGGTGATCCTGAGTCCCACCTCACCTTAAAGATTAGCTATAGGATGCTGACATGACTCGCAACATTGGCCTAAATAATAGGTCCTGGTGGTCTACTCTCTCGAGGCCAATCTGTAGATTATTACAACGGACACTCGGCAAAGTGCAGAAAATTGTTCTGGAAAGCCAAGTCAGCTCTGTGCTGGATGAAAGTCTAAACAGGTCAGAGGAGCAATGAAGGTAGACAAGCCCCTCTTGGTATCAGCCCGCATCTCCAATTGGCAGTAACTGAGACCATGTCTCTGGTACAAAAATAGAAATGCAGATCAACAGCCCAGAAATGACTCTGATGACAAACACATGCAGAGGAGGAAAGAGTCAACAAAGCAGGCATCTTAAACAAGAAGGGCAGGGTGCCTGGAGAGACAGCTAGTGAATCTCCAGGGGAGAAAAAAAAAATTTAATCTGTTAGATTTCATTTAGCTCAAATATTTATTGAGCACCAGCTGTGTTCCAGGTTCTACTGCTATAAAGATAAAAGAGATACAGTTTCTGCCTTCAGGGAGCTCAGTCTGAGAGGGAAAACTTAGCTCAGGGTCATACAACTTTGGGTCTGAATCCTGGTTTCTGCCTCTTATTAGCTGAGTGACCCTGGCAATTTTAAAACTGATCTGAGATTTGAGATGCCCTGTGCTATAAAACAGGTTTGTAAATAGCACTTCTTTCATAGAGTTGCTATAAGACTAAGTGAAAGAAAATATGTAAAATGTACAGTGTCTGTAGTCAATAAGCAGTAATTCTTATTATTGGGAAACATCCTTGGAAACAAAGTTTGATGAGGGTTAGAGGAAACAGGCATGTGCCATGGGGGTTACAGAGATTAACAGCTCTGAAGAGTGGAAGGGACCTACTCAGGATTTAAAAGGTGAATGGGGGAGGCAGGGGGGACTGGCTGGTGTGCCTTAGAGATTAGAGTGTCGGCCCGCACACCAAAGGGTCTTGGGTTTGATTCCCAGTCAAGGACATGTACCTAGGCTGCAGGTTCAATCCACGGTTGGGGCACGTGTGGGAGGCAACCAATCAATGTGTCTCTCTCACATCAATGTTTCTCTCTTTCTCTCTCTCTCCCCCTCCCTCCCTCCCTCCCTTACACTCTCTAAAAATCATTGGGGGGAAAATATCCTCAGGTGAGTATTAACAACAACAACAAAAAGGTAAATGGGGGGGAATTTATCAGGCAAAGAGTGTAGAGGTAGATTCCAGGCTAAAAGAACAGCATTTGCAAAGGGATGGAGACCTGGCATCCAGGGAAAACAAGCAGCTGGAGGGGCGGGTGTGGCCAACCCTGAAGCAAGGGAAGGGTTGAGCGCCAAGTTGAGGCTATGACAAGGGCTGGAGCATAGAAACCACAGGTAGTGCTCAAAGCACAAGATGTGGCTTGGAGAGNAAAAAAAAAAAAAAAGAAAAAGAAAAAAGGATCAACAAAAGGGTCAGGAGGCAACAAGATTTTCCTGTGTTAAGTATAACCTTTTATATAGCTTTTTTAAAGAAAATATTAATATTTTAAAAAGCAAAATATAAAAGGTCTACACTGCATTAGCATCTAAGTAGAAAAAGAGATCAGAAAGAAATACCTTGCCCTGGCTGGTTTGGCTCAGTGGGTAGAGAGCTGGCTCACGGACTAAAAGGTCCCGGGTTCCATTCCCGCCACAGGCATGTAACTCAGCTGCAGGCTCCTTCGGGGTATGTAGGGGAGGCAACCAATCAATGTGTCTCTCTCACATCAATGTTTCTCTCTTTCTCTCTCTCTCCCCCTCCCTCCCTCCCTCCCTTACACTCTCTAAAAATCATTGGGGGGAAAATATCCTCAGGTGAGTATTAACAACAACAACAAAAAGGTAAATGGGGGGGAATTTATCAGGCAAAGAGTGTAGAGGTAGATTCCAGGCTAAAAGAACAGCATTTGCAAAGGGATGGAGACCTGGCATCCAGGGAAAACAAGCAGCTGGAGGGGCGGGTGTGGCCAACCCTGAAGCAAGGGAAGGGTTGAGCGCCAAGTTGAGGCTATGACAAGGGCTGGAGCATAGAAACCACAGGTAGTGCTCAAAGCACAAGATGTGGCTTGGAGAGGGTAGGAACAAGAGCAGCGGGGAAGGGAAGAAAGTTCTGTCTGGGAGAGAGCAAAGGTGGTGCCAACAAGACTGAGGAAATGGGAAGGGAGAAAGATCAGTGACCTTAAGATCTCTTGAGGTGGGGATAACATGGAAATGGACTCTGGAGGCCTCTTTAGGTTGAGTTGGTGAGCAGCACACAGTCTGTGCCCCAGCTCCCACCTGATATTGTCGATCCAGCAGTCAATGATGACAGGCAGCAGCAGTTCAAGGTTCAGCCAGAGTGTGAAGTAGCTGTCCGTTTTCTTGGAGCAGAGGTAGTGCACGACCTTTGGCTTGTCCAGCTTTGCCTCCAGCTGGTTGCCCAAATCACCAGGCACTGTAGCGGGGCACAGAACATGCATGAGGAGGCCCTGGACCTAGCAGGCTGGTGACCCTCAAGGCTTGAATCCAAAGGCCTTTTACCATCCCAGGCTATAGTAGGCAGGGCTTTGTTCACTCTGATTGGAATGGGAAACAGAGCAGAGTATTGTGCCACTTAACCAGCCCAAAGTGAAAGCACTCCAAGACAGGCTTGTGGAGGAAGGCAACAAACTGAAACACAATAGAAAGAAGCTCATATTGGCACCTGCTGACTTACAGAGATCCCCAGGCTTTGGTAAAGTCCAGAGTCCAGTAAGGTTCCAAAGGGCAGATTATCTGGAGGGCCCTAGCATCTGGGCCCACCTGGACCAAGCACTAGAGATGGCTACCCTGAAATAACACACCATTCCAGCCATAGCCCAATGCGGGGTGGGGGAGACTAGGCCTAAAGGATAACTTCTCTCTACCTGAACTGGCCTATTGAATCTACAAAGAGCCCTGGGGGGCCTTGTGACACTTAAATCTATCCCTGTAGCTCCAGTGCCCAACATTCAAGGCCTTTTATTTATTTTTTTTCTTTTAATCCTTACCTGAGGACATGTTTATTGATTTTTAGAGAGAAAAAGGAGGGGGGAGAGAGACAGAGAGAGAGAAACATAGATCAGTTGCCTCCCATAAGCACCCTGACTGGGGACTGAACCCACAACCTAGGTATATGTCCTGAACAGGAATCAAACCCACAACCTTTTGGTGTAGGGGATGATGCTCCAACCAACTGAGCCACCCGGCCAGGGGAACATTTAAGGCTTTCTAGGGTTTATTTACTCCCAATGACCTTTAAGGCCTCACCTGTTCCCATATGCATGCTCTCAACACCTCCCATATTCATCCCCATTTAAGATCCATGATCACTGAGTGAACAACCAGCCCTTGGCTCTCCTTGGCATTCACTGGAGGGCCCTAGCATCTGGGCCTACCTGGACCAAGCATTCACAGTCCTGGGCTCAGACTGTGAACCCAGCCCTGCAGAGAGCACGCCCTCTGTGTGCACCATCTCACAGTATCCTCGGGGTAGCCATGGGAGGCCATTGTAGCACCTGCCTTCACTTCCTTTCATGATATGGGTGCAGAAGTGGGGAGTCCCCAGCATGACATGCTCTGGATGACATGCCTGTGGACTAGGCAGAGGAATATAGAGACCTGTCATTGTTTCCACTAAAAAAAATTGCTGAAAGAAGAAGTCACCAGATCTGCTTTGCCTGGATATCTTTCACCCTGGCCAGGCTGTGTGGCCTCTAAAAATAGCAGTGATCACTTCCTCAGCCCTTGTGCCTAGAACTAGGATAAAAGCCATCCACATGCCTCTGACCTCAAATAACAGTGGGAGAGAACATTCTTATTATGCCCACTTTTCAGATGAGGAGACTAAGTCTGGGAGAGGTAGAAATGGCTTACTACAGTCCCTTCCCCCTGCCCAGGGTCTTCTTCTGTGTCACTTCTCTGGCCTCTGCTTCCTCTACCATCAGTTTGAGTCCCACACATAGAGACTGGTCACCCTTGGATTACTTACTGATCTGTGACCAGTAACACCCTGACCACTACTGGCCATGGGGTTTCCTAGGATTAATGCCAACAGCCTCACTCTCTGGGAAGGTTAAGATGCCAGTTACTCTGACTCTGGGTGGGGATTGAATGACATAATGAGTTAGCATCAATTTAGGAGAAAAGACTGTATGCCTTTCATGGACTTCCCAATGCAACACCCTTTTATTCAGAACTCCTTAGGCCCACACATGATCCCCTGCAGGCCTCCAAGATAAAGTCCAGATGACCCAACCAGTCACGAGCCTGCACAGTCCACTTCCCCCCCC